ATCATAGAATTCTCCTGTAACTAGAGTACCGACCTAGCAGGTCTCTAACACACTAATCCCTACGGATCATATGAGCATAACATATTGTGTACCTCGATTCCTAACTAACAGATCATAACCACATGAAACATACCATAACAATAACAACTAAAGGGGCCTACCTTGGTGTCGTAGACCCTATCGATATAGTGAGGATAACTCACCTTGAAGATGTCAACTTGAAAGTCAAACTCCAACTCTCGGTTCACTTGACACAGGCCCCACCACCTATCGTCATAGCACAACATACTTATAAGTCCTTAACCTTATAAGGTGCTCCATAACCCATTAGTCAACCCCTGGTCAAAGTCAAAGTCCTCAGTCAAGGTCAACAGTCCATGTTGACCTTAACTCACCGAGTACCCTTGGGTACTCACCGAGTTTTCCGAAGTACATTCCAACTCTCCGAGTCATCGAAGTGACTCGTCGAGTCCTTTGATTCTCAATCAAACTTAAGGTCACCCGTCGAGTTCCCTCCTTGCAACTCGACGAATACACACCCATACATATTCCAAAGAAAACTCATCCGACTCGCCGAGTTGTTCTTCAACTCGCCGAGTCTTATGGCGATCTTCATTGGACTCGCCGAGTTGTTCATTAACTTGTCGAGTTCACGGCCATCTTCATGTGACTCGCCGAGTTAACCTTGCGACTCGCCGAGTCTATTCAGTCCCTTTTCCATACAGACTTGTTTTGAGCCATACAACGGCTCTAACTCATAGATCCAAGTTTCTAGGGCATGCTTATCACGTAAAGTTGCAAACTTTACATGCATGCATGACCATAAAGGCTCTAAATGTCTATTCTAAGTTCTTAATGGAACTTCATGCTCAAGAGGGACCTTAATCACAACCAAGACTGTGACTTTATGCTTCTAGAATCCAAGGAGGATCCAGATATGAAGTTACAACTTCAGATCTAGCCCATAGCTCATCATACCAACTTGAAAATCCATAAAAGCCCTAGAAACTCAACAAAAGGGAAAAAGGAAGTAAAAATGGCACTTTGATACCTCTAAAGGATGCTAGTTGAGGTAAATCCGGCTTCCCACTCCTTCCTGCTTCAATTTCCTTTGCACTCTCAGCTTTCTTCCTCAATGATCCTCTTTTCCAAGCTTCAACACCACACCAAGGCACACACACACGAATTAGGGTTTTATGGGGGATCTCAAAGATTGTAAAGAGGCCAAAGGAGGCTAAGGCTCCTTTAAATAGAGGTGCAAACCCCGGGATTTAGGGTTTCCACTGCCAGCTCCTACTCGCCGAGTCCCAACATGGACTCGTCGAGTAGGTCACTTAAAACGTGATCCCACCCTGCTGCTACTCGATGAGTAGGTCAACCAACTCGTCGAGTAGAGCTTAACCCAATAAATCTTATTTAAGCAATACCAAAGAATCGGGCCGTTACAGGTGTTACACAAATGCTCTCCAAATGGACTCATTCCTTCAAGGATGAACACAAAACACTTAGAAAAGCTCAAAAACTCTCAAATGGAGATTAGGGTTCGCAAAGGGTCGTTTGGGAGGATGGAGTCCGAATGTGGAAAGGATTGATGAGGGTTAAGTTGCTTAAATATGGCTCAAAACCTCGGATTTAGGGTTTACACCACTGACAAGTATGTCATGTGTACCCATTAAGTACGTGCAGCGTACTAATGAAAGCCCACGATCCTTTTAATGGTTTGCGTCATGCATACCTCCAAGTTCGCATGGTGTAAGGGCCATTTTTGCAGGCCCGACTTTAAGGGGGAAAGAGGGGTAGCCACATAAGGCCCGAAAAAAATAAGGTCCAAGTTTTAATTAAATTATATATTTAATAACTAAATATATATGAATTTATTCAAGATATTGCATAAAGTTTGTGTAGCCTAATTGGCAAAGGCGTGTCCTTTATTCAAAAGGGTGGGTTCGATTCTTGTTCACAACGTAACATTTTGATGTTTTAAGGTCAAGTTACAGATTTGGCTAGTTCTTTATGCTATATATTTCATAATCAACCCCTCCTTCCAATATGTTTAACAAATCAAATTCCATATGTTCCTTTTTAATTAATTTATTTACTTTTAAGTTTTCCGTAACGACAATTCACCGTCTTAATTTTGTTTTCCTTATATAAGCAATGTGGGTTCGATTCTTGTTCACAATGTACCATTTTGATGTTTTAAATTCAAGTTACAGATTTGACCATTTCTTTATGCTATATATTTCATAATCAAGTCTCCTTCCAATATGTTTAACAAATCAGTTTTCAGAAATTACATAATTAGCCCTTGAACTTTTTATAAAATTCCATATGTTTCTTTTTAATTAATTTATTTACTTTAAAGTTTTCCGTAACGATAATTCACGGTCTTAAGTTTGTTTTCCTTATATATTAAAAATTGTATTTAGGGCCTCATTTTCTTAACACAGCGCATTTAAAATCAACAAGCCGATCCTGCATTTTTGCAACAATGTTTATACTTTAGACAATAAAGGAAATACCTAATTGATTGGGTGTTACAAATCAAAACAAATGGAATGCAGAAACAAACAAGAAAACCATACATAAAATTACGAAAATACAGATAATCAAACTGAGCTCTTATAACATGTAAACTATCACAACATAAAACGGTTAAAGTTATATATATATATATATATATATATATATATATATATATATATATATATATATATATATATATATATATATATATATATATATATATATATAAGCTAAACGAGCTTCGGAACAAGTGAAGTTCCAGCTCTTCACAGTTCACACTATTGCCACAAAATTTTCATCTTTTGTCAACCGGTGTCCCTTATTCAATTGTTTTACACTTTTAGCATGTATTTTTAGGGGTTGTCAATTTTCTCTGATGATTTTCACTTTTAGCAGGTATCTTTTATGATTTGCCAATTTGTCTCCTATTACCCCACAAGTGGTCGCATGGTGTTTACTAGTTATTATCAAATGAGAAATACCATATACATAAAAGACAAAATACATACTACCTAATTAGTGTTTTCTATTTAACAAGCCAATATAAAACCCAATACAAAATAAAACCTAAAATTTTATTAAACTAAAAATAACATCTTGAATACTAGATAGTTATAAAATTCATCGTAGACTTTGTATTATTTCCTTTAAAAATATTTCGAAATAGACTCCTCAAGAAAAACCTAGAATTTTGTAGTGTGTCTCTTGTGGGACATGTGTACTAGATCCTAACATGCCTTTTTAACCAAGTATTCCTTAACATGTACGTCCCTTTATCACATGGCCTTGTTTTCCTTCTCTATTGGTCCCTTTATTATGTGATATCACTTGTCAACTTTCTACGTGTAAATACAACGACTTATTTCATTTGTCTTATAGCTACTTTAAATAAAAACTATAAAAATGTAGTATAATCTAAAACATATATTTCGTACGTTTCAGACTCCATCTCATATTGTACTAGTTATGTCGACCTATATAAATACATATATCCACAAGTAAAGAACAATGCCATAGGTAATTTATATAATAGCTCTACACGTCCTTGAATTCCTTTTCAGTGATTGTCGATGAGGATTTCCATTTCCATTTACAATAATTGTGTAAAAGTATACCTCGCTAGCCCCATTTTTCTGACTCTAATATGATTTTACACTGTGCATAGTGCATACGCATACAAATTATGATATGTTTTGATGTGCATCTCTAGTAAGTGACTACTCATATTTGACGTATGCTCTCTATATGTCGTCTTCTATGATTTGATGCTTCTACTACCGACATATATCTTGCAAGTGACGATCTGATAGGGGGGCATGTGTCTATTTTGGTCTTATGCGAGCTTTATAAAAATAGAAAAATTTAACCAACAAAGAACACTTTTGATTGGGTAGTTGGTATAGCTCCACGTACGTTTCGACATACATAGTCAGGGATAACAAACGTGGAGATATTTGCTTAATGATAGAAAAAAGCCAAGGCTTGTAAGGCACACTTATGTTTCCTATTATTTTTGGAATGTAAATAGAGTTTTGATTTCTATTTGACAACTAAAGGAAAAGAGATATTTGGTTATAAGATTCTTTCTTTTAATAATGTATGATGAACAAAAAGTAAAACGAGAAAATGTGTTCATTTAGGTCAGAAAGTATAATCTCATTAACATCATGAAGTCAATGTAAACTTTTTCCCAGTGTATAGTTTTTTAACTATTGTGTTGTTTGTTTTTTGAACCACTAAATTGTATTAAGCTAGCAAGAAGTTATAATGAAAAAAAATACAAAAAGAAAATAAACTATGGTTAAGTTTTACAACCAATCAACCCACTTATGCATCAATGGTTAGGACTCAAATTCTATAATGGATCTAGTGATATGTAAAAGATTTCGACCTACTCATGTTTAATTTTTGTGTTCTTATTGTTAGCATGATCACGTTAAAGATTATGGATGTAGGTTAACATCATCTACGTTGATCACACATGTGACCCGAAATGATTTGATGGGTGAAGAGTGGATGGATGGATGGGGGTTAATATCATACATATTGATCACACATATAATGTGAAATGACAATTTGATGGGTAATCGAGAAGATGTAAGGGGCTTTATCATGCATGTTAACCACATACTAAAATGCCCTCGTGTAAGCTTGTGATTCCTCTAAACGGAAGAAGACAAATGATGTGAAGTTAATGGAGTAAAATTAAAATGAACCAAAACATATTTTTGAAAAATGGACCAAAATATAGAAAAGTAATCAAGTAATTTCCATCGATGATCTAATAAGTAAATTTTATGTAGTTATCCAGAGAAAAAAAAAATATAATCTCCATCGAGACAATAGGCTTGTTATTAAAAAAATAATTCTTAAAATTGTCAGAAGTGGGATTTGAACCCACGCCCTCTCTCGAAGACCAGAACTTGAGTCTGGCGCCTTAGACCACTCGGCCATCCTGACTTGATGTTTGATAATGATTATCTTATTTATTTATCGGATAATTGCGAGGTTTTAAGGACTTCATCAATGGCTTGATGAACAGTGCTTTATTCCATCTGCTACCTTCCGTCTTCTTCTCTTCACCCTCTGCCTCTGCCTTTTCTCCATACAAACAAAAAGCGCGTCCTTGCTCACTACCACCAAACACTAATCCGGTGTCCGATTTACGGTTTTGGTTTACGACTGTGGCCTATTTCTACAGGTACAAATAAATATCTCCTTTCTCTTCGTTGTTTCTGTAAATCCTTGGTGTTGTGGGGGATTTGAGTTTCGATTTATGGTGAAGTGCCGATTTCTGATTTAGGGTTTTTGTTTCTCCGTTGTTTGTGTAAAGAGTTGGGGTTTTGGGTTTGTGATTTTCACAGTTTTTTAAACGTGGAACGTATGCAATTACCTATAGATAGCAGGGTTCTTGGTAAGGCGCGAAAACCTTGCTTGTTCAACTTCTCCTATATTGATTCATATAGCAGAGGGAGGCGCAATTTTTTGTGTAACGCGTAAATTTGGGCTTGGGTAAATACTTAATCCATGACCTCCATTCTTTCAATGTAAGTGAAGTAAAGGGGTAAAATTAGTGAGGGTTTTTCTTTTTCACGTCTCTAGCTCTTGATCTTCACCTGCTTCAGTCCATTCTCATCACTATCTGTTGAATACTGATCTTAACCTGCTCCAGTTCTTCAATCAATGTAGCCGACTAGAGCTCTTCGATTTCACAGTGCTACTGCTACACAGCTTTCATTGTTTTCATGGCCATCGAGGATCATATTGAAGGTGTAGGAATCGGAACTTAGTCACTTATCGGCTGAATATTGATCATCACTGAATAACGTTTGGTATGTATTATAATTTCGAATTTCATCTATTCATTTGATTTCTAATTTTCTTCACTACTCTGGAATCGATCACCACTACTTCATACCCACTTTGCGTTTTTCTTGAATATTTCTAAAGTCTCGAATTCCATGTACGATTTTCCTGAAATTACACATGTGGGAACGTGATCATCTTCTATACAACATGTTTTTAAGCTACTAATCTGTTTTTAAACTACTAATCTTGCAAACACATTACTTACTAGAATTTCGTTATACTGTAGTAATGTTATATTCCATGATTTTGTAATTTTTATGCAGTATGTGTTTATATGAATATGAATCCACCTCCATTTCATCCTTTTACACCTGCACCATGGGTCCCACCAATGCCACCATTGACAAGTGGCTTTTGGACGCCAACAAATGTTCAAACTTCTCTGAAGGAATTACAAAACACTCTTCATCTTGCAGAAGCAATGTGAGTTTAGTTTTCTAAGCATGAAATTCTATGTATATGGAATTGGAATTCTTGATTCCAATCATTATTCCCTGATTCCAACTTCAAGTCATTTAGTTAAGATTTATTACAGGGAAAAGGAATTGGAGATGCTTATGGCAATGAAAGATGGAAACCAAGAAGAAACACAGATTACTGATTCAAATGAAACTATGATTAGAAGATTCCAGAAGTTTCTTGAGAATAACATGATAACATTGGATACTCAAGAGAAAATCTCATTAGAAGCAGCAAATGGATTGATATCAAAACTGAACATTGATCTTCAACCATTTAAAATCATCACTGATGATAAAACACCATGGGAGGAGAAATCTTCAGCTTTAAAATTAGCAAATAAACTCCATAAACATAAAAGAAACAAACTTTGGAGGAAAAGAAAGAGACAACAAATAGCTGAAATGCTTTCAAAGGTCAATGATACATCCACTTTCAATTTTAATTTCATTTTCTTTCTATTTTTTTATTACAATTTTTTATTCCTACTATATTTTTCAGCTTACCTAACTTTTTTCATGTTTTACAAGGAACATGAGCAATTTAAGAAAGCTGATCAAGAAGCTGATGAATGGAGGGCTAAGGAAATTGCAAAAGAAATCGCAAAGCAAAGGGTAATATTGGAATTTGAGAGTTGAGACTAATCTTTAACATAAGATCCGAATTTTTTCACATAATTTAATCAGTTCAAGTTTGTTTACAGGTGGAGAAGATGAAAGAAATTGCAAAACAAAAAGCTAAAGAAGAGCGAATAAGATTAGAATCAGAGGTGATAATAAAATCTAAATCTTCAACTTTTATCAAAATCTTAAAAATTTAGATACTCATTTTTTTTTTTTTTTTTTTTTTTTTTAAATTCAGCTAGAATTAGTGCTGATTGTGGAGAAATTACAAGAATTACGCTCCATCAGGATCCAGAAATTAACAAAACAAGGTTTGTATTTGTATTTGTAATAAATATAAAATTCGTTATTATTTCATTCTAAAATTACTAATTTTTTTTTTTAATCTGTATAATTTTTTCAGGGCATTTTCTCCCAGAGGAAGATGACAAATTTCTTGAAAGAATTCGTGTTGCAGTTGAAGCAGAGGAGAGAGAAGCGATGGCTGCAGCTGATACAAATACTGCTAAAGATGCAATTACAAATGCTTTAAATTCAGAAGATAATCAAAATATTGTTAAAATTGGAGATAAAGTAATTGAAGAAAAAATAAATGAGATTGAAGTAAAAAAAGGAACAAATTCAGTTGTTGATGTGAATAATCATGGGAAAGGATATTATGATTATTATTCAGCAAGTTTACCGATTGAATTTTATCATTATTATCATGGAAGTAGTACTGATATGGGGACACTGATTGAGGTCAGTTTTGTAAATTTACGATTTGTAATAATTACTTGGAATTATCGAATTATTTATTTAATTTTTTAATTGCAGGTGAGACGGACGTGGGATGCGTATATAAGACATGGAGGAAGGTGAGTTATTAGAAAAATAATTATAGAGTTGTAATAAAGTTGTAGATGTGTTTATTTTATTAAATATTCATTTGGTTTATTTATTTATTTATTTATTGTTGCAGTCGAATACCAGGTCATTGGGTTGAACCTCCCCCACCAGCTGATGAAGTATGGGCATCATACCTCGTGAAACATTGATGCTTTTTTTTTTTTTGGGTAAAATATTTAAAAGTTAATTTTACTATTGGTATCTTGATTTTGGTTATATAAGATTTTTTTTTTTTTTTTTTACTTTATTATCTTTTTAAAAGTCATATTTGTTGTTTAACTGATTCACATGAATGTACAATAGAAAATGAAAATCCCTATCAAAAATAAAATTTGAAATTATAGTAACTTTGCTAATAAATAAAAGTAATTTTGGAAATTATAGTAATTCAAGTGGTAAACTAGGTAATAAATAAAAGTTTTTGACGAATGATTAAATGTTAGGTACCTCTTAGTAGAACAAAATCGAAAAAGATAACTTAATGACTATTAATATCGTGTAATAATTGTTAACAGATGAGTAGTTGAAATATCAAAGTAATGTTTTTCAAGAGATAAATGTTTTTTTTTGTACCAAGTATTTTTTTTTTTTTTAATTGTTTTTGCCATGATTCAGCAACCAACCATGACGTACTCGGTACTTCTTATTCAGTCATTTTGTAATGATTTTCTTTTGCCATTATTTTGTTGTTAAGTATGATTACATGAAGTGTTTGGCTTGATGAAGTGAAAGTTTTACATTATATTGGCGTTTAATGAAAAACGGAGGTAAACAATGTAGTTTATGACAAAGAATACATATTTTATTTTTTATTTTTAACAAATCATGTCATGTATATATAATAAATAAATACATAGACCGGGCTGAACCAGGCTTTTTTCAAACAAAGAATGGACCGGTCCAGATAAACCTGAAGCTTGTTGTAAACCTACATTGACCAAACTTTTTTATAAACTTTTGAATTTGTTTTCGGTCGTGGGAGTACCATTTCTTTTTTACTTGTACTTTTACCACTTACATTTATTGTTTTGAAAACTGTATAAAACCGGCTGTTTCAACCCGAATCTGGTTGAATTGCTCAGGTTATTGGTTTTTTGAATAACAAAAACCGTTTGTATATGAATCATTAAAACTGGCTAGTATTTACGAAAACCGGTTCTACCGATACTGGTTCTAACCACTAAAAAACGGTTTTAGAATAAATATATATGTTCTTTTTTCCTAATTCTTTTTCTAAGTTTTTTATTTTATTTTATTTATTGATAATTAAACTTAATCTAATTTCATTGAAGTTTTTATATATGAACCAAAACCATATTTCTTGCCTCTTGTCTATTTTCAACTTAATTTTGGAGGTATGCTGTATTTTTTATAATTTTAAAAATATTATGATGTAATAATGATGTCATCCGGGTTTTTGGACTGGATGGTTGAACCAACAAACTTATAAGACAACTGGTTTAGTTTTTAAAACCTTGCTTATGTTTCATTTTGAACCATTTGAGTTCGTGTGAATTTCAAAGTTAATATAATTTCAATGAATGTCTTCACTAACAGTATTCAATGTTGCTCTCTCTTCTTGAGGTTGAGTGTTTGAGTCTCATCGTGAACCTATATGGATTTAATGTGTAATTTAGTAGTAAGTTAGATTTGTCGTTTAAAAAAAATTGTAAATTGATCCAGTTAAATTATAATTTGAATAGTTAACATCGGATTTTAATTTAGTTTGTACTGTTCATATTAATGTTTTGAATACGGAAAAAAACACTATTCATTGGCTCGGATCACATCAAACCTATCTATTCAAACAAATGTCAAGCCTAAGCCCTAATGTTCTAATGGCAATGAAAGAAATCTTTAAAAAACTTCATAAATTAATCTTTTATTTAATGGGTAATCTACTCATTTTATCAACGATGAGATTTGAACCCTCAACTTAATAGATGAACACATTTTCAAACATTTTAATACCGTTAGACCAAAAACTCTTTTATCATATTATTCTATTTTGTTATGAAATTGTTTGTGTTTACTTGATAATAATAATATTTAATTTTTTAAAATTTAATTGATATATAATTAAAGATCCTTGACTAGTCAAGTAATCATCAATGATAATCCATAATCACTACTTAACCGACTTAATACCACTTTTACAACCTTTGTAAAAACATAATTGGAAAAAAAAAATCATTACGTGACAACCGATTCAGAATAATTTTGATTCCAATTTTAACCATTTCTATTTACAACTTGATTAATTAAAAAAGAAAATGTAACGAAGCAAACACCCCTATTAACATTTTTTGTTAGTGTCGGTAGGTATAGCATTGGTGGTAAGCTAAAGGACACATCACAATTAGTTGATTCTTGATACAAGTACAAGTTGGCACATGATGTTTAATCAAAGCCACCACTTCGTTGTTCCACCGAAGTGACTTTCATACTTGCATCATTAATTCTCCAATAAATATACAATTTAAAATATAGAGTAAATTACATGAATAGTCCCTATGATTTAAGATAATTGTGGTTTGGTCTCTAACCCTCGCACCATCCATATAGTTTTGTTTTGTTTCAATTTTGGTGATCAATTTAACATTAATTTGCATATTTTAATTCTTATGCATACTTTTTTTTCTTTTTTTTTTTTTTGCAAATTTTTAGTTATGTTTGGATTTCACGTTAGGGTTTGATTTTTGTTTGGTTTTGATTTAATAACAAGTTTGATTTTGATGACCGTAGGTGACTAGTGTTTATATCGGAGGTGAATACAGTGGGACTGCATCTAATCATTAACATTGAGCGGAGGAACAGGTCGAGAAAAAGAGTGAATTTTAGTCATTTCAGGTTTGATAAGGACTAAAACAGAAACCAAACCAAAGAATAGGGATTGTCCTAATTTTACAAACCAAAAGGACCATTTGTGTAATTTAGTCTAAAATATATGTCTATAGTACACCAATTATCCATATGTTTGAGGGTCTACCTACTTGTCCATTGTCTCTTCATTATATTATATAGTTTTCTGTTTTTCTATAACCAGACTATGAAGCAAGTTTCCAAATGTAAATTAGAAAGTATTCCTCCAAAACCGTTGGTTGGACCAAATGAAAGGTGACCCTGACCCTACACCATACACCATACACCATATGCATAAAGCACGAGTCTTGAGTCTTGACCACTTGGAAAAAGATGTCTCGACTTTTTGGGATTTCAACTATTCAACCTTCTCTTCATGTATTTGAGTTTGAAATCAACAAATTGCTTCACAAATGTAGATTAACAATAGTAACAATAATAATAATAATCATATACAATGTTAATGATGCCCTAAGATACATAAAATTTGAGTCTGGTACCTTTGATGAGAAGTAAGAAGAATTTGATGCTAGATCTCAAGAATCAAGATCAAACAACTTGATAATCATCATCAGGCAGAAGCTTTGAATCGTAGATGATTATGAAATCAAACAATTCTTCTTCCAATACGAATAATATTATTTAACGAAAATATTCTGTATAATATTAAGATCCAAAGCAATCTAGATTTACATAAGCTCAAATCAAGCTACAAATAGGAAACCAATGAAATCAACTAATATAATTTCATCACTTGAGGACAAACAGTGGACAAACAAAAAGAACAGAAGAAACAGAAGACAGGATCTGGTTCTGGTTCTGGTTGGTGAGTGCTGTTCCATTGACAAACTGACGATCACCTCCGGCGACGACCGTCGGAGTAGTGTGAGAGAGGAACAACCTCCGCCAACGGAGTAGATAACGGCGTCGGAAGTGGCGAGCTCCGACAAACAGGACAACTCGCGTTCAGTTTCAACCAAGCGTCGACGCAAGTCAAGTGAAAACAATGCTTACAATCAGGCAACATCCGCATCATCTCCGCCTCTCTATACTCGCACAAACAAATCGCGCAAAGAGTTTCGATTCCCTTCGGAATCTCTTTCGAGAATGGAAACTTAGGGTACGAGTTGATAACAGACTGATCCAGTCCAACAACAACGTTCAGATCTTCGTTGTTTTCTTCGTCGACGAAAATTATGCTGGGGACGAAGACGCCGTTATCGGAACCACCGCCGTTAGGGTTTCGAATTTGGTTGCGGTGAGTATGACGGTGACGGAAGCAGATATATGAAGCTAGAAGAAGGGAGGAGAAGAGGACCAGGAATCCGAAAGCGATGGCGATTGCGTAGCCAAGACCAAGGTTGGTTATGTAGTAATGAGTGACGCTCGAAAGTTGTTGCTGCTGCTGCGGCGGCGGTGGTGGGTAAGGGAGGGTGGTGGACATTGAGGAGAATGGTGGGAGTGGTGGTGGCGGTCCATTTGGAGGGAAAAGAATAGGGGAGAATATGAACGGGAAAGGGGTTTTAGAGGGTGGTGGTGATGGTGGTTGGGTTGCTGAGCTGCAGCATTAAATGACTGCGTAAGAAATTAGAGAAACTCCATTAATGGCGATTCAAACCATTAACAAACGAAATCAAAGGACCCCCAACCGAATATTTAATCAACCTATCCTTACAAATTTTATAAAATAAATGATGGTTCACATTTTATTATTATATTATAAATCATGACCATGTTTTTAAAAAGTTTTTAAGTGTTTTGTATTTCATTATAGAGAAAAAAAATTAAAAAATAAAATATATATATATATATATATATATATATATATATATATATATATATATATATATATATATATATATATATATATATATATATATAACAGCATCATGTGATAGACTATTTTTTCGGTAAGTACTCGTAAGATACCCTAAAAAATTGAAATATATATATATATATATATATATATATATATATATATATATATATATATATATATATATATATATATATATATATATATATATATATATATATATATATATATATACATTATTACAAATTTTATAAAATAAATGATGGTTTTATTATTATATTATAAATCATGACAATGTTTTTAAAAAGTTTTCAAGTGTTTTGTATTTTATTATAGAGAAAAAAAATAATATATATATATATATATATATATATATATATATATATATATATATATATATATATATATATATATCAAAAATCGAGCATAATATTATAATTGTGAGAAAAAAATTGGAAAAAAAATTGATCATTAAAATTAAATCATTGATCATTTCTATTATCTATGGTTCAGATCCATAATTCAAATTTAATGATCCAATTTTTTCCAATTTTTTTCTCTCAAATACAGTATTATGCTCGATTTTATTATTTGTATTTTTTTTTTTAAAGATGTCGTCATGAATACTCACCGAAAAAATAATCCTCACCGTAACCGGACCACATATATATATATATATATATATATATATATATATATATATATATATATATATATACACACACACACACACACACATGGTGAGAAAACCGTGTATTACACGGGTTTATTAAAATTAAAAATTTAATATCAATATATAAACATTAAATATTCTACGAATTAATAATTTTACATAATTTAATATAATCTTTCGCAACATCTATAAAAAATCAATTCGTTTGGAGCATTTATGAGAATTTATTATCAAATTAATATATAAAATAACTCTTTTTCCTTATAAAATCCATTAGAATTTTATGAAATTTTATTTTAAGAAAATAGAATTCCCAAAAAATGACAAGTGAAAAATAAAAATTCTAAAACTCCTACAAAATGACATGTGTTAAAATAAAGGAGAAGATGTCATGTGGCAAAAAGATTTTCATTTATTATGGTGTATGTGTGTGTGTGTGTGTGTGTGTGTATATATATATATATATATATATATATATATATATATATATATATTTGTTTTAGAATACAACTTAAATCTTTTAGTTTAAAGGGTAAATTACATCAATCGACCATGATGCATTTGTTAAAACGTACACTTAGTCTATTTTTAAAAATCAACTCAAACGATCCATCATTTGTTTTAAACTTGCACGCTTGATCCATCAAGACATAAAATAACTATCTTGCCCTTACTAACTTCTTTTAATGTTTTAATTCAATTATATCTTCTTTTAATTTATTTACATAATTATTTGTAAAAGATATTAAATATTTATGTGTCCCATCTCATTTTATCCTCCATTCTACTCTTCTTCCCTCTTTTTTTATATAGTCCACCACTATATACATTCACCAAACCTAAAATCTAATGAAGCAAACAAAATTCATCATGAAATCCTTTGATTCGAGCTCTAGATTGTTGAACTTCAGCATACATCACAATTTCACCACAATATACTGAAATGGAATAGGAAGGGGGGGGGGGGGTTGCATCGCCTTCTTCACCCCCACAACACCATCAACCACCCTTATTATCATTATCTTCATCGCCATAACGATACACCTTTTCCCTCCATCACAGCCAACCATTCCACACCATTACACAACTTTCATCCTCCATCCAGATACCATCGACCACCATTATCAACCCATGTCAATTGTACAAAACCATCCGTAATCACCACCATAAGCAATTCCTTAACAATCATCATCACCGTCTCTTCAATCAACCTTCAATCATGATCACCTCATCTTCAGTCGACCTTTAATCATCATTAGACCATCATAAATCTACCAAATAAACACCTGAAATCAAACCCAAATAAAACCGTAAACCTGCAAATGAATCCTAACTAAACCTTAAACATGTAAATCGAAACCCATGAGTTGCATGAGAAGAAAGAAGATTTCGATCGACACCTTTGGTTGATCAATAGTATCACCTTCGGGTGTCTGATTTGCATTCATCAACCCACCTAAAAAACGAATGTTTATTGTTGGTGATGCTGCATGTGATGATGTTATTGCAAAGAAGAAGGGAAAGTGGGAAAGAGACGGTGATAATCCGACGGTAGTGGTCCAGTAGGTATTCCATGGTGGTGCTAAGTAGTGGTCCGGTGGCCGGATTTTGACTTCAAGTTGGTTCGTCGGTGGTGGTATTTCTAGATAAATGTGGTAGTGTGGGTAGGGGTTTGTGATACCGAGTTTATGTTTAACAACGTCAAGGGTCGGGGCCATATATATATTTTTAATTAATAATAATATCATTAAACTAATTGGAAAAGAAATCCACAAATGACATAATGGTCATTCCAAATTAGAAACTGACTAAAAGCGTAACAAAACTATATATTAGGGATGAAACGTGCAAGTTTAAACCAAACGAGGGATGATCCGAATTAAAAATTTTAAAATATGGACTAAACCTACGTTTTGACATATATATATATATATATATATATATATATATATATATATATATATATATATATATATATATATATATATATATATATATATATATATATGAGAGACGATTGGTGTAATTTACACTAGTTTAAATAAAATATTGATAATTATAAATTAGTTCAAATAGTTTTTAGATTTTAATTTTTATCTTTTAATAAAATATGTATATGGAATTTTATAACTTAAAAAATTTATAGCTTCAAATCACCAAAGATATTACACCAAAAAAAATTTAAAGCTTCTAGTTTCTAGTTTTCAAATAAATAATTTATGTTTTTAAAACTTTTAGAAGGCTTACATATGCTTTCAATATTTTACTTAAAAATCTATATCTTTTGTTTGGTAGGCGAACCCATAACCTTATTCATAAATCTACATTTTCTGTCCCAACAAACTTAAACCCTCAATATTTTCTTAAAGAGACATTTGTTTATAGGGTGGAAGCGGTGCCGTACCGAACATTTGTTTCCCTTAAACCATGTATCATACTGATTATACTTGGTTGCCACCACTATCGTACCAATTATAATTGGTGCCAACTTGTTTCGCTACCAATAGGGTTGGTAGGTATATGTTAATAATTGTATATACCAACATGTATAAGATTTTATGAATGTAGATTTCCTTGTTCTTGAACATTGTGAGCCGTGAATATGACTTTTGTGAATGATAGTTGTAACATCCTTATCCTTGCAGGTATTTAAATTTACTATAATTTGGAGTTTAGGTGGTGCCACATCGTGGTGGAAGCACCTCACAACGTGGTAATGGTTGATGTATCGCGAGTTTTAAATGATCACCACGACATGACATCTTGTGGCCACAGTGCGACAGCTGTTTAATGAGAAACCCTATTTTTCCGGGTTTGTCGGAGCTAATTTAAAACTTTTTAAATCATTTAAAACCATTCAGTTATTACACTTTGTTTTCAAAATAGTTTAAACATCAGAGTTCCCAGAAATCATAATCATTAATCGAGGAAGTGTACGGTCACGCCTTCGCCTTCCCGCGCTCATTCATTGAACTGGAAACAATAAACTAAAATTGTAAGCTCGAAGGCTTAGTGAGTTACCCCCAAAATACCAACACCATATCGATATAACCATAACATATAACATATAAGTGAACAGAAAAGCCATGCATCTCGAGTCTACAATGAGACTAGTCCGCCCGTACCGGGCCTTCAGTCTACCTGGTCCACTCTCTGAGTCTACAATATGCGTAATGAGCCCTCAGCCTGACTGGACCACCTCATAGGCCTTCAGTCTATCTGGACGGCTCTCCGAGCCTTCGACACGTTTGGACCGCCTCGCAAGGACTTCAGCCTATCCGGACCGCTCTTTGGGCCTTCGGCCTGACTATGTACCCTCTTGGGCCTGCAGTCTTTCCGGTCCACCCTGGGTATGTTGGCTTTCAGCACAAAGCAGGACCGCCTCAACCCAACCCCCAATCAAACAACCATGTGCACATATAACAGTTAATCACGTAACAATCTATAGAAAACAAACCGATCTAACATATAAATAGCATAGCAACATCCTATAACCAGGATACCGACCTAACCGGTCACTAACATAACATCATCCTATATATCAAGATACCGACCTAATCCAGGTCACTAAACATAATACCATCCTAACTACCAGGATGCAGAACTAACATATCAATAAGCATAATAGCATCCTAACTACTAGGATGTAGATCTAACAGATCAATAAGCATAATAACATCCTAATTCCCATGATGCAAATGTAACGCCTCCATTCTCATGTATTGTTAATATGAGTTTTTGGATTAGGACTTAATCGACGAGTTGGTTTACCTACTCGTCGAGTAACAGTGAGAAGGATCGCGGATTAAGTGACCTACTCGATAAGTCATATTGGGACTCGGTGAGTAGGAGCTGGCAAGTGAAACCCTAATTCTCGGGGTTTGCACCCCCTATTTAAAGGGACCTTAGCCTCCCTTGGACCTCCTTACAGTTCCAAAGAACCCTTGAGAGCCTTATTCGTGTGTATGTGTGTGCCTTGTGTGTGTGTTTGAAGCTTGAAAGAGAGTTCTTGGAGGGAGAAAACTTGGAGGAGAAGGATATTGAAGCAATTTGAGTGTGGGAATCAACACTCATCTCAGATATCAACTTCAAAAGGTACCCAATCCGTCATTCTCTCTGCAGATCTCCGTTATTGGGTGAGTTTTAGGGTTTTTATGGAATATCAAGTTGGTATGATGAGCTATGGACTAGATCTGAAGTTGTAACTTCAGATCTGGATTCTCTTTGGATTCTATAAGCATAAAGTTGCAACTTTAGTCGTGATTGAGGCCCCCTTTGTGCATAAAGACCCTTCAATAGCTTAGATTTGCCATTTTGAGCCTTTAAAGCCATGCATGCATGTAAAGTTTGTAACTTTACGTGATAAGCATGCCCTAGAAGCTTGGATATGTGATTTGGAGCTGCTGCATGGATCAAAATGGATCTGTATAGAAAGAGGACTGAATGGACTCAGTGAGTCGTAGGGTTAACTTGACGAGTCGCATGAAGATGACCATTGAACTCGACAAGTTGGTTGAACAACTTGGTGAGTCCGATGAATATTGTCATGAGACTCGACGAGTTGAAGAACAACTCGACGAGTCGGATGAGTTTTAACCAAGAATATGTTCGCGAGTATATCCGTCGAGTCACAAGTAAGGAACTCGACGGGTGGCCTTAAGGTCTGGTCGGGATTCAAAGGAACTCGACGAGTCACCTCGATGACTCGACAAGTTGGATTGTGCTTCAAGGGACTCAACGAGTAGCTGGGTGTACTCGGCGATTTGAGGTCAACATGGACTGTTGACCTTGATTGAGGAATTTGATCTTGAGCAGGGGTTGACTATTGGGTTATGGAGTACCTTATAAGGTTAAAGACTTATGCATATACTGAACTATGGTTATAGGTGGTGGGTCCCGTGTCGAGTGATCCGAGAGTTGGAGTTTACCTTTCGAGTCGACATCTACAAGGTGAGTTATCCTCACTATATCGATAGGGTCTACGGCACCAAGGTCGGCCCTTTAGTTGTTATTGTTATGGTATGCTATATGTGGTTATGATCTGTTAGATCGAAATCGTGGTAGACAGTATGTTATGCTCTTACGATCCATGGAGATTGGTATGTTAGTGACATGCTAGGTCGGTACTCTAGTTATAGGAGAATTCTATGATTTATGATCAGTGTGACAGATATGTTTGATGTTTATATATGCCTGTATATGATAGTATGCGCACAAGGTTATTCGCTTGTGGCTGGGTTGAGGCGGTTCTGCTTTGTGCTGAAGGCCAATATACCCTATGAGCGGTCAGGGGAGACTGTAGGCCCACGTGGCGGACCAGTCATGCCGAAGGCTCGGGATAGATTCAGATAGACTGTAGTCCCGGTAGGGGGTCCAATCAGGCCGATGGCCTAGTATGCATGTTGATTGATCGATTATTACTGCTATGGTATTGTCAGTGTGGTGTTGGTATTTTGGGGGTAGCTCACTAAGCCCTCGGGCTCACAGTTTTCAGCTTATTGTTTCAGGTACTTCAGGAGATCGTGGAAAGGCGAAGGCGTGACCGTACCGCTCCTCATCCTTATGTTATGATTTTGGGACACTCTGATGGATTTGGATTTGAAAACATTTTTGTAAACAAATTTGTTTGATTTTATTTACGATTGAAAAAGTTTAAATTTGGCATAAAATTTATGGTTGTTACAAGTTGGTATCAGAGCCTTGGTTTGAGTGAATTGGAGGAACACTTGTGTAAATCCAGTCTCAAATCAAGAAGATTTTCGGAAAATAAGTTTTAAATGGTTTTCAAAATAAAGGATGGAGGAGGTAGAGGGTACGATCAGTCGGAGCCTGTAAGTAAACCCCAAAAATACCATGCAGTTATTTGATATTTTTATATGTTAGAAGAACATTCTAGTGCTAGACTAGGGATCTTCAGGAATCACATGATAGATTTGCCTGATTTCATGATTCCTATTAGCCTAGGGTTTCTTGTATGTGGAATTGACATCATAACTGTGGATGTTTAGTGTATGCATCACAGCTATGCATAATAAAGACCTTATAGCCTGAGAATGCTGATTCGGCCGTC